AATAAAATCCGACATGAAAAATATTTTCGAACGCTAAACGATCGCTAAGCCACTAGAGAGACATTTACAGAAAATAATGTTTAATTGTGGTGGCCAATTGATGTGACACACTATTAATTGCTCTTCACATCGTAATGAATGAATGAAAAGCATATCTTGTGCACTCAACTTGTTTTCCTTTTAAATAGAAAACTTAAAGATATCAACGTTATTTATGTTAAAAAAGATACATACGTACCACAAAGAAGATATAATAAATTAAAGAAACCAACATACAAGTGAAGAAGAAAAAAAGATAAAATAAAAAAGGCTCATGAACTGAAAACTACCCGAATGTATTGGATATCTTTGTGACGATTTAAAATTTTGAAAGGTTTATCAAGATTTATATATATATATTGTTATAAATATATTTATATGAGTACATTTGTCTTAATTCGATATCTTAAACTTAAACTTCTAGAACGACCCATCTTAAAATAATAAATTTGCCGATTATCCATTTGTATATGGCTGTGACTATGAAAACACATTCATTCATTTATATAGCTGACTCAACGTATGCATGTCTGCATTAAATGGTAGATGAAAAACAAAAGCCACAAATTGTATTTTCCTTAATTGAATATAAAACTATCATCACTGACACAATAAACATGGGGTGTCCATGCAAAAACCAAACAAGAAATTCATTTTACCTGACACATAAACAAAAACAAAAAAATCCAAAAAGATATCATCCAACACAACACAAACAATAACATTTGCGCACTCTATACCTCAGCAGGAAAAAATTGCAATAGATTTGTGGTAAATAATAACTTTGGTTTGGTACACTTTGTGCCATTTGTGTTACAGTGAAGATGTGAAATTAACGCACAGTGGAATTTTGAAATTCAGTCATTAAAATGTTGTATTTAAAGAATATTGTTTTTCTTTGTTTTTTTTACTACATATTTTGTCTTCCACTTTTTACACCATGTTCAACTATGTTGTAAGGCTATTATAAGTTTGTGCAGCCCAGGAGTTTGTAACGCCGTGAAATACTGGTCCTAGTTCCACATTTCACTTTTACCTATCATATCTCGACCAACTGAATTGATCTCGACATTTGTGCCCGTCCGTGGAAAATTTTACATGTAGAGTCGGTTCTGATCATAATCTGGTTGCTCTGGGGGCTCCAATTTTTACCCGAATATCATGAAAATTTACATGGGGAAGGACACTTTACTACTACAAAAATGTGTCTCAAAAATCTCATAAGGAGCGAACTGAATATCCACTTTATTCCAATCTTAGCACATCATAATATCCATTCTTTCTGGAACCTCCCCCACAAAGTGTCAAGTGTCACAATTATTTTCCTACTTCGCTTTTCTTTTCCCCTATTAGCGCTCATTATTCTTCTCCCTCTTTTTCACAAAATCAAATGTTTTTTCTCCCAAAGAAAAAAACATGCATAATGTTTGAAGATGAGACTTATCGGTCCACTTGTTCCATTACCTCCCACACAAAAAATAATATTTTCATAATTTCATTCATATTTTTTTCATATTGTACCTGTCTCGCTATGATCATGAAATAGCCACTACTTTTGCCAAAAAAAATCAACATTTCATTAATATCACCACTATATTCCTTAGCACAATTTGCGATCATTGTTTCCCTCTCTCGCAAAAACAAATGTATTCCTCCAATAAAAAACATATATAATTGTAGAATATGAGACTTATCGGCCAACTCGTTCCATTGCCTCCCACAAAAAAAAATAAATAATGAATATTTTCATCATTTTATTCATAGTTTATTTTTTCCATATTGCAGATGTACCTCGCTTAAAATAAAAATAAAAAATGTGTTAATCATAAGAAAGCCACTTTTTTCCAAAAAGAAACACCTCGACCCTTCATTATTCAGCAATATTTTGCTTTTGGATCGTCCTCCGTCTCTCCCCTCACTAGGTGGTTGTTAGTTTTGCAACCGTTTGACTACTGTCTCTTTTGCTAACAATCGCCGTCTCATCACTCACTCGATTGTGTTGTTAGTTTTGCATTCCATTGTTTCTTCTTTTTTAGACACTGTTACTGACCTCTGCATTGTGTTATAAAATTCGCATATGTATTTTCCAAATTATTTCGATATAAATGCCATATACAATATATGAATCAAGGGTTCACACGAAAAACAAGCCCAACCGCATGTTCATGGCATAATTATGGAAGGTAGTCTCATTTGAGAAATTGATAATGGCTACCCTTTTTAATATGGAATTCATATACAAATTTCAAATAAAATATAAAATAAATTCCATAAAATTAATTTGAAGCGATTTGATCCATTGATATCAGGTCGTAATATTTTATCAACCAATAAATATCGAGTTTGTATTTCACGCAGATCTGTTTACTAATTTCTATGACCTCTTTGAGTAAAATTGCCTATAATCATAGGCAATTTTACTAAATAGATTCCCTTTCACCAGCAACCCTGATTTCTCAGATTTAGAAGGTTTGTATTACTCCATGGCATAATTATTTCATGGTATTACTCGTGTATGACGAAATGGCTTTCTTGCCATAATTTTGATAACAAACATAGCAATATTGCGCAAAAATTTTCCATAACAAATATGTGTGAAAATATTTCAAAATGACCGTTTAGCAAAATGTCACAACAAAAGTTCTGGGCGATTATTCATACATGCTCTATAGAATTTATCTTCTCTCATAAAAAATAACGAGTAGGAGTATAAATTGTGACGTATTCTCAATTAACGGATGAATGACTGTCGCAATCTAAAAACAGACATCACACTCGTGTGCATACGCCCAAAAAATTTTTCCCCAATTTAATGAATCCAATCAAAGGCAAATCGAATCGAATGATATTTACTAACAGCTTGTAGAATTTTATAAATCTTATTCACTCTATAAAAAAATCGCTATTATTACCTTGTCCTAAATAACTGTATTGCGCAAAAATGATGTGCAACAATTAAATATCCCCCCATGATTAGGTGAGATGAGGTGTTCCTACGTTCGTTCGTTCATTCTTACATGAAAATGTTTACATCTATGGCACACGGCATGTCTTCACACTTCAACACGACCCAAAGTCTGGAGATGATCATGCAATTCATTGGAAAAATAAACCTCTATGAGCAAGGGAGACTGACAGGCAGCAGCAAGGAGCTGGCCGACTGACTCATCGCTGGGGGAACTCACAATGAAAATTTACAAAAACAAACATTTAAATATCAAAATATGTTTCTGTTTTTTTCCCTGTTTATTTAAGATTTTTCATACGATTTCATGGAATATTGGACAAAGATATTTCGTTTAGTTGAAAATAACAAGAATAACTAAAATAATAACAAAAAATTCAAGGCCTCAAGATCATTCAATCATTTTGCAATCACAAAATGTATTGAAAGATATATATGCGACTGAATATGAGTGCTGCAGCTGAAAAACTCCCGATTGGAAATATGGAATATACAATATACATATATGTAGATGTGCGATGTTTGTGTGTGGTCAATAAACTTTTATGGGAGAAGATAAACATTTAGAGAGAAAAAAATAATGAATCTATGAATGTTGATAGCTCAATTAAAATATAATAAACTGCCACCACTGACTGTGTTTATGATCTCCAGCGAGCCAATAAATAGTATTACACAATGAAGTTGTTGTGGGGATTCACAAACCGCACAGTGTTGAGAAAGAGAAAAAGTTAAATTGTAACAATAAACATTGGGTTGAGGCTGATGTAAACCCTATATATGGTTTTATATATCTATATAAATATTGAGGGAGTCATATCGATAATGATATTTTTAAGGTTTTGGAACCTTTTCCAATAAAATTTACCGTATTTTGACTACATATTGATATGCAGAGGACAACAAATCATAAATATTAATATCGTTCCTCTACGTGATTTTTTAGCATAAGCGTACCTAGAACTTTTTGGCGTAGTGTTCTACTGGCCTCTAGAGCAATTAGTAATCCAGATAAATATAAAGTTTGCTGTCCATTTGATCCCCTAAATCGATCATCACTGAAAATTATAAGGGTCGCCCTTGACCATAACCGGAACTTCATGTAAAATTTGAATGCGATCAGCGCGACATTTTTTGCCCTCTAATGTGGTAATGGTAATACTAAACAATATCAGAATAGGTATACCCCTATTTACGTATAACTCCCACAATCGAGTATCCATTTGGATATAATGTCAACATATCCAGACTATGTCCTTCATTTCCATTTTCACACAAAAGTCTGGGTATATTTGACACGCTAAATATTGGCCTATTGTCATAAAAAGAGCCATGCTCCAGATCAAGATGACCTCCTAATTGCGACCTCTAGTGCGACAAAAAAAAATGACAAAACCAGTATTTTTTATTTATTAACAGATTTTTTCATAATACAGTTACAAAAAATACTGGATCAAAAGTCGGGCCGACTATATGATACCCTTCTCCACTTTGGGTACATACAAGATATGAAATTTAATTAGTGATCTACATAGATATTCTGAAATCTATGAAAATGTGAATACCAATCGGGCAGACTTGGATTTTTTTGGTGTACCATTTGTACAAAATCGATCAAAATTGTTTTTGTGAGCTATATGTAAATCTGAACCAACTTCAACAAACCATCACAGACTGGACATAATTCAGTAGCTGTGCAAAATTTTGTCTCAATCGGAAAAACATTGGGAGTTTGGTGCACAATTTACATAAAATTCGACGAAGCTATATATGGATGTTGTATCTAAATTTGAACCGATTTCAACAAAACTTCACAGACATCAAACTGAACATAAATCTATACGATGTGCAAAATGTTGTCTAAATCGGACAAATATTGGAAGTTTGGTGCATCATTTACTTAAATTTACTTAATTACTCTATCCCACCCAACCCATTCTATATACACAATAATTTCAAATAATAAATACATATTCATACATACAAATCAACTTACCAACTGTTTTTATAATTTGATAATCATCCAAACTATATTTCCTAACACCTTTGGCTGTTTCTACACTGCTATTATCTTCTGTGCTATCATCTTCTTCATCGTCTGTTTCATTACCATCATCATCCTCGTCGTCTTCCTCTTCCTCATCGTCGTCGTCCTCCTCATCATCATCGTCCTCTTCATCGTTATTATCAATGTCTTCATAATTGTTTTCAGTACGATTACTGTGTTTAGTGTCCTCCTCTTCGTCAGCCTCCTCACTATAGTCTGATTCTAGGGGATCTGAGGATTCGCTGCCGGCGTTTGTGCTACGACCGTTGGTATAGCCATTGGTCACACCACCACCACAAAGACGACCCAGTTTTATTGTCGATGAAGTTTCTGTGCCAGAGGTTGTTTTCGATTTGTTGCTGGGACCCATTTTAGTCGTTACGCGGGAACAAGTGGCTGCTGACATTTATATTTGTTGACGTCCTTTATTGCCAGGCAATCAGAGTCGTCGGAAAGTTTTTCTTAGCGAAACTAGAAGAAACAAATGGAAATTTTTAAAATGAAAAAATGTTGTTGTTATTTTTCTATTATTTATATACGACATAGTTTTTCATTCCATGTATTTATGTCATTATTTACTTTGCCATTAGCCAAGTTCATATTCATATACTTGTTCTAGTTTCATTTCACCAGTTGAGGACATGTGTCATATATCCTTCCAATTCAGATGTGCACTCGCACATAACCACACACCCAATCACTTGGGCATAACATTTTAATTAAACCATTGGATATTTTAAGTGTCCCTTCAATCAAGAGTCCTTGTCTTGTGATCGGGGGTTAGTTGGTTTTGGGGTCGTTTCGATTACTTATTGTCTTTTTGCATTGTATTCGAGCGAAAAGCTAGGATGATGCATCAAGCATTAATTTTGTGGGTTAGTCAATTGCCATTGGTGGTAATTGCTTAGCAATAGCTTAATGTGCATAGTGATTGGATTTAGTAAAATTCTGAATCGTATTAACAATAAGAGTAAGAACATCTGTTCAAATCACGATAGAGCTCTTTAGATTTAATATTGAGTTTTTATACCCTACACAACTATGTTGTCAGGATATTGTAGCTTTGTATGTATATTTGTCCTTGACCCACCATTCAGTATCTCGACTAGCTGAGTGTGACCATCCGTGTGTCAAATTGATTGCACCGCGCTAATTGCGACCTGTTCGAAGTCATTGCATTCGATAAAGTTAAGACAATCGATTATTCTTACCGCGCTGGATTAATTTCTAGTTTTTAAGACAAGCCCTTGCAACAGAATTGGACAATACCGGCATTTTGAAGATTTTGAACATCTTTCCATACGAATTCATTATATAGTTTAAATTTCATATTTTGGGTTTAGATTTGATAGTAAATTTCCCAACAAAAATTGTCAATATAAAGTAAAGTCAATATAAAGTTACATAAAGTAGATGTATTGATTTCAAAATATTCTAGGTCAACGAAATTTTTCATTTCGTCGGATGTTTACCACACACTTTTCGAAATCATTACAAATATATTTGAGAATCCTTATGGTCTGACAATAATTTGTTATATCTGAGTATCCCAAGAAAAATCAATGTATCCAGTCAACGTTGGGAATTTTGGTCCCAAAATACCAACGACTGTAAAAAATGTCCCTCGAAAAACTAATATTCGAGTTCAAACTCTAAAAATATTAATAATAGTTTAGTCTTATTGGCCTATTGTCAAAATGATTTATATTGGGGTTAGACCCTCCCAGAAAATTTCGTTACAGGTTCCCAATTTGTTAGGAATTTCCAATAAGTTCTTAACCCTCCTACTTTTCATTTAAATTTCCTACACATAACCACTGTGCATTCTGGAGTATTCAATACAAAGTACACACTCAGCTGCATTTTGTAGTTGTTTTTATTGTTGATTTATACATTTGTTCATAATATTCATATGATTCCATTTCCAGATAATGGTACTCATAGTATTTTACATGTAATCGAACAACCACTACTGGAGCTTGCTGGCATATGTGCATGAGCATCAATATGCCTTTGAATGCAATAGGTTAAGTGCTCCAATTGTTGGGTGCATGTGTGTGTGCGTTACTTTGTGTTGAAAGGTTTTGATTTCATATTTCACATTCGTTGTAAATTTAATTGAAATTTCCACTCAAATAAAGTTCACACACACAAAGGGGGAAAATTTTTCACACACACATAATCTGCATAGCTCCACTCAATGGGATTTAACGAATGAACAGCTAAATCCACTGGGAGCTAATTAAGCACTCAATGAAATGGTTTGTTTGTATAAACAGACCAAACTAATATAAATGTTTTATTTTTTTTGTGTTTAGAATTATTTTTAAACATTCATACATATTTAAAAAAACAAAAAACAATAACAAATGTGTTCCTACATAAGTGTTTAGAAACGCATACACACTGGCAAGCAGGCAGGCAAACTGCAAACAAAGACCATGAAATAAATTGGCTGAACTTGATCGTGTCTTACTACACCTGAGTGCATTCATTTTCCGCTCTAGGTAAAGGTTACCTCAAGACTTTTTGTTAAATTATTCCAAATAATTAAATTGCGTAAGACTGTGAACATACATGCACATTTTCAACTCTGATGAAAATGCAGTGGGCCATCAATGAGCATGCTTGCACCGGTAACACAAAATTTAATTCAATTAATTGAAAATCACAGTGGGAGAGTTGGTAAACAAAGGTGTACATTTTTTATTACATTCTAATTGGGTTAGGTCAGTAAGGTCGGGAAGTGGACTATGAAAGTGGATTAAATAAACTAATATTATAATTTTCTATGCAAAAGTGCAATGTAAGCGGGCAGGATATGCACATTGGGAGTGGATTCTAAATTATTGGATTTAAGATCAAGATCGTTCTTTGCGAATGGTGGACAGTATTACTAAAAACAATATTAAGATCTTCCGTTTTTTTAATTGATTTGCGGTCGAAAATGGGCGATTATCGAAAAACAACTATACAAAGGCCTCACATTTTGTATCATATTTTGTTAATCGTTTTAGTTCATACCAGAGTCAGATATGTACTCAATCCCGATGTTCCAGTGAGAGTGGCAAAAGAAGACAATTTCTTTAATCACAGAAAACAACAATTAAACAACACCAACAACAAACTTCTTGTAAATACCAAATCATAAATACTTAGATTCGAAAATTCGTCTATGACCTTCAACAGAATGAAAATGAGGTGGAATGTATAAACACGGACCTGTATTGAACATTTTCTGCAAAGAAGTTTCGAACATCGAACATTATCTAAGTGTTTTTCAGTACATACATTTCTATACCCCACACAACCACGTTGTCAGGGTAGTATATCTTCGTGTGGCCCAAGAGTTTGTAACGCCGTGAAATATTTGTTCTAGACCCACCTGTTAGTACATCGATCGTCATATCTCGACTAGCTGGGTCGATCTAAACATATGTGTCCGTCCGTTTGTCCATTATAATTTGTAAACAATTAGAGCTCAGTGGTAGTTGAGTAGGGTGGCAGATGGTCGGACCCGTCCAACTATAATGCTCTGCTCACTGGGTTTACTTATATCTCTGGTGCACAATAGTAAATTTTTTATTACATTCTAAATGAAAGTGGATAAATAAACTCCCATATTTAGGAGTTTGGGCACGTGTTTACGTAGCGGAGGTATGAAGCCTGTTACCTCTTTTTAGGGTAGCCCCGATATATCGGTACCCCCATTATTCGGTGTATTTTGATTATAGGAGCGATTCATAACTGAATTGGCTCTTGGGTGCAAATTCTTCATCTGCCACTCCACATATTCATATTCACCTGATCCTTCAACGAAAATAGCCCACAAGAAAAATAAATAAAAATCAAACAGAAAAACCTAATAAAAATCAAACATGATGACTATTCAATTGTCTATCCGACAAAATGTATGAAATGATATATTAATAGATTATAACGTCAGAATATCTATGGATACCTAAACGTGGGATGAAGGTGGCGGGCGTATCTTGTTGTTCTCCATGCCACGACAACGTTCACGACGGCAAACGGCGGACATTTATATCAGCAACAACAAAAATTACAAAATACGAGTAGTCAGTTCCAATAAATTTCTTAGACTGTTGCGTTTATTTTCCATTCGAAGATTCAGGGATATGAAATCACAATCAAGACCACCATTATCATCGCGAATGACCAGATGAAGATGAAAAGAATATGAAGGAGGCAAAAATATGGCAATAATTAAGAAAGAAATAATAAAACATGAAAATAAAAAACATACAATAAAGACAAAAGCAATTAACATGTTATATTTAAAAATTAAAAAATTCAAAGAAAATGAAATTGTTACAGATATTTTAAAAATATTCACAATATTGTTACTAAATGGTACATAAATCAACATCCTAGTTTGTTTTAATTATATTGTAGTAAAAACTGCTATAAAAAATGTGAATTGATTTCCACTGAAGTAGATTCATAAAATGAATATTTATGATTTAGTCACATATTTAAAAAGTGTTTTATATCGATGCGTTTCCGTTTTAGATATTATAGTTATTTATATGTTCACTGATGAAAAATCTACAGAAATAAAAAAACTATCAAAATAATGTTGATGCATTCTGGAGGATGTGGCCATCTTAAATGTACTTGTTTAAAATTTGGCCAATGATTTTATATTAAGAGCATCGCGAACACATTTATTTTATTTATTATTATTATTATTTTGTTTTTGCAAAATAAAAAACAACAATGTATGGCATTCTCCGCCGAGGGGTACGGCAGGGAAAACTATAGTTTCGCATCTCGCCACTGATCCTCATCAGTTCCCTCAGTTTTTTGTTGAGATATTTTGCCAGAAGCTATTTATTTATTCTTTACAAAAAACCTTTCATACCCAAATGTCTCTTGTGACGAGACATTTGGGTATGACCCCAATCCGAAAATGGAATTACCCACTCTGCTACCTCCCCTATAATGTATCAAAAAGTTTGAAAATTCATACCAATCGAATGAGTATCCGTTTTCCCAAACATCGCATAAAGTAATATTTTTAATTTGTGAAATTAGATCGATTTTGAAAATTGTGAAAATTGGATCAGTCCACGTTTGGGGGTATCCCCCATATAACCTCCTACCTCATGATTTTCGGTATTTTTCGACCGAATTTGCTGTGATTCGGCATTTTCTTCTATGTGAATTCATGTTTTACTTGCATATTCTGATCAAGAGTAAATATGTTTTCTAAGGTCTCCGATGAACAAATTTAGTATGGATGGTATAAATTGTGTTGTAATATGGTACCTAAAATTTCACTAAAAATTGTATGTGAGTATTTTTTCTTCCAATAAGCACCGATCTCAAAAATTATAATGGGATGTATCGTTATATGGTGGACTTATACACCAACTTTCTAACCAAACTGTCTGACTTGGGGTTCTCTCTTTTTATACCCTTCACCTCACTGTGATACATGG